TTGCCTTTATTGTGTTGAGGAATGTTCCTTCTGTACCCAATTTGTTTAGAGTTTTCATCATGAAACAGTACTGTATTTTATCAAACGCTTTCTCTGCATCTATTGAGATAACTATTCGGTTTTTGTTCCTCAGTTTGTTAATGTGATATATCACATTTATTGATTTCAAAACGTTGAACCATCCCTGCATACCAGGGATAAATCCCACTTGCTCCAGGTGAATAATTTTTCTGATGTTTTGTTGGATTTGTATACCACAGGACTTGATGTGTTATGCTTTCGTTTTCATTTGCTTCAAGAAATTTTGGATTTCCCTTTTAGTTTCTTCAATGATCCATTGGTCTTTCAGGAGCATGTTGCTTGGTTTCCATGCATTTGTGAATTTTCTGTTATTCTTCTTGTTGCTTTCTAGTTTTATTCCTTTGTCCTCTGAGAGGATATCTGGTTTGTTTTCAGTTTTTGAAATTTGACTGAGACTCTATTTGTGGACTAATATTTGGTCTATTCTAGAAAATGTTCCATGTGCTGATGAGAAAATTGTGTATTCTTGGGAATTTAATCCATTTGCATTCAAAGTTGATGTTGATTCATTGAAACTAACTTGTCATTTTATTGATTGCTTACTGATTGCTTTATACATTCCCTGGTCCTTTCTATCTCTCTTATTATTTATCTCTGTGTTTTTTAGCTTTCTGTTATGATAAGACTGGATTCTTTTCTTTTTCTCTCTTTTGTATATCTGCCTTGTTAGTGAATTTTATACTATCATATGGTTTCAAAATGTTCTAAATTTTTTTTTTATTTTTTAAGATGGTAAATTTTATGTTATGGATATTTCACCACAATAAAACACTTTTATTTAAAAATCAAAACATGATCAAAGCTTTACAAATCCTGAAAGACTTGATTACAAAGCATGGAATTCATCGTTGCCAAGAATTTCTTCAATCTCAAGCTGTAGCTACAGTTACCAAAAGGATAATTATACAACAGCACATTTTGTGTTTTGTTTTTCTTTTCTTTTTAAAATTTATTTATATAAAGGAACAGATTTCATGTTTTTCATATATACAGTTTTAAGAACATAATTATACTTTCCATTCTCCCTCTTTCCTACCCTCACTCCCATTTTTTGCAATGATGTACTTTCAATTTACTTTATAATCACAAGCTGAATCTTCCACTAAATAGAGAATTCAACAAGTAGTAAGTAGAAAGACCGTTCTCATGGTGATTTTTATGATCCTTTTAATTCTAATATAGGATTCCTTTCAAGATTTCTGGTAGGACTAGTCTGCTTGTGATGGATTCTCCCCATTTTTATTTGTCTAGGGAATACTTTATTTCTCCTTAACTTCTAATGGGTAATGTCACTGAATATAGTATTCTTGGCTAGAAGTTTTTTATTTCAAGAGCTTGAATTTATCATCCCTTTCTCTTCCTGGCCTGTAGAGTTTCTGCTGAGAACTCTGCTGTTAGTCTAGTGAGCTTTCTTTTACCTGTAACTTGATGTTTCTGCTCACTGTCTTTAGGATTCTCTCCTTGTCCTTAACTTTTGACAATTTTACTATAATATGTTCTAGAGAAAGTCATTTTTGGTTGAGTCTTGTTGGGGTCTTTTAAGCTTTCTGTATCTGAATGTCCATATCTTTTTCAAGTTGTTGGAAATTTCCAGTTATTATTTTGTTAAATAGGTTCTCAATGTCTTTTTTTCCCTCTCATCCTCAGGTATCCCTATAATATGAATATTTGTTTGCTTAATGATAACCCATGTCTTGTAGGCTTTCTTCATTCATTTAAACTCTTTTCTTTTTATTTTTGTCTGATGGGGTTATTTCACAAGTTTTTTCCTCAAGATCCATAATTTTTTTAAAGATTTATTTATTTATTTGAAAGTCGGAGTTACACAGAGAAAGAAGGAGAGGCAGAGAGAGATGTGTCTTCCATCTGTTGGTTCACTCCCCAATTGGCTGCAAGGGTCAGAGCTGTGCCGATTCAAAGCCAGGAGCCAGGAGCATCTTCTGGGTCTCCCATGTGGGTGCAGGGTCCCAAGAACTTGGGCCATTTTCTGCTTTCCTAGGCCATAGCAGAGAGCTGGATCTTAAGTGGAGCAGCTGGGACTCGAACCACTGCCCACATGGGATGCCGGTCCTGTAGGTGGCTTTACCCACTATGCCACAGTGTCGGCCCTCAAGATCCATAATTCTTTCTTCCACTTGGTCCATACCATTACTGAAACTCTCAATTGTATTTTTTATTTTATTGATGGAGGCTTTCAATTCCAAAATGTATGATTCATTCTTTTTAATGAATTCTCTTTGTTGAATTTCTCATTCCTATCATGCATTCCTCATTTCTTTGAATCGTCTGTCTGTATCCTCTTGCATCTCATCCAATTTCCTGAGGACCATTATTTTGAATTCCTTTTTCAGGCGTTTCATAGATCAGGACCTGTTTCTGGAGAACTGTTATGTGATTTTGGAAGCGTCATGTTTCTGTGCCTCTTCATGTTTCCTGTGTCTGTGCTTTGACATCCAGGCATTGGTGTAGCTGTTTCTTGTTCTTTATTGAGTAGCTTTTATTGGAAAAGCCCTTTTTTGTTCAGATGGGATGTGGGGTGGCAGTTGGTTCAGTGTGAACCAGCTGTGAGATGCGGAACCTCTGAGTGATTTCTACAGCTCTAACCAAGGCCAGCTGTCTATGATGGCCACAGTTGTCTAGTATGTAACACTTCATGGACATAGTCGTAGGACCTTGAAACTGATGTCGGCTTTCATATGTGTGTTCATTCGGGCCCCACAAGTTGGATGTCAGTCACACTAGTGTTTGTGAAGGCAGTAGCCACATTCATGGTGCTGTGGGACTGAGAGGTGGTTTCCCCATTGTCCTGCCAGGCAAGTCTGAGTGATGCTGGGGCTTGTGTCATAAGAGCTGTGAATCTGGGATGTGTGATGTGGATGGGACCTTCTCTGGATGGGGCCTTCCCCAGGTCCTGCTAGGTGGGTATGGGTGACGCTGCAGCTTATAGCACCAAATCCCTTGTCCCAGAACTAGGACATGTGACGGGAACCCTGCCCATGTCCCATGGGGGTGAGTAAAGCTATGTCAAGGTGCAATGTCAGGTGAGGGTCTGGAGCAGTGTAAGGTCTTGCCAGGTTCTTCAGGGCGGGTTACAGTGACCTGGAGGGAGGCAGTTCTAACAGTCACAGTCATGGAGCTACAGAGCAGGAAGATACCTTGCCCCCTCCCACAGGAAAAGAATAGGTTACGCTGGGGATTGTCTACTGCCAGCCATGGGCCTGCAGCAGAGGGGTGAAGATAAAGCCTTGCCCAGGTCCCACAGGGCAAATGCAGATGCTCTTGAGACTTACAAAGTCGACAGTCGCAGTCTCGGAGCTGCAGGAGGCAGTGGAGAGCTTATCCAGGCCTCCCATTTCAAACACGGGATCTTCTGGTGATTGTGCACTGGCAGGCATGGACCTGGAGCAGTGACATGCAGACAGGATCCCCCACAGGTCCCAGGGGAGAACTCGGGTGACCGTGGAATGTAGCTCCAATATTCCCAGTCACAGAGCTGTGGGACTTGAGGGCATACCCGTGTCTCACAGGTTGACCACAGATTTTGCTGGTCATTGTGCACTCGCCAGTGTAAGCCTGCATCAGTGGGAGGCAGACATAGCAGGAAGCATAGATTTGAAATTAAAACATCTGGGGGCTGGCGCTGTGGCTCACTTGGTTACTGCGCCGCTGGCATCCCACATGGGCGCAGGGTTCTAGTCCCGGTTGCTCCTCTTCCAGTGCAGCTCTCTGCTGTGGCCAGGAAGGCAGTGGAGGATGGCCCAAGTGCTTAGGCCCTGCACCCACGTGGGAGACCAGGAGGAAGCGCCTGGCTCCTGGCTCCTGCTTCGGATCGGGGTAGCTCTGTCCGTTGCGGCCATTTAGGGGGTGAACCAACAGAAGGAAGACCTTTCTGTCTGCCTCTCTCTCACTGTCTAACTCTGTCAAATTAAAAAAAAAAATCTAACATGGGGGCTGATGCTATGGTGCAGTGAGTTAAGCTGGTGTTTGGGACACCCACATTCCACATTGGAGGGCCTGATTCTAGTTGCAGCAGATAGAAGCCCCCCCCCTTCCCGTCTCCTCCTCTCTTTTTGTCACCTTGTCTTTCAAATAAAATAAGTAAATTCTTTTAAAAATGTTTAGCATGTTTCTGTCGAGAAATATATTTAATGTCAGACATTTTGGTATTAATAATTGAGAACTGTTTGGTATTAACCCAATTTCCATGAGTTCTGTTTATTTTACAGTTTTAATGATTTCCTCTTTAAACAGTATGTGTGTTCTGTTCTTGTCTACTGGTTCTTGTCTACTCATGTGTTGTGTCTTTTTTCCCCAGCATTGATTGAAATAAAATAACCATTAGGGCTTGAAAGTGATGAGATGTTTGGTATCAATATGAGAAAGAAGTTTAACGATGTAAGAATAAATGTGTATTTGGGATTGATTTTAAAATGGATGAATAACAGCCATTTTATAGTGCTGTTTGTGGAATGGAAATGCAAAGAAAATGCCTAATAATTTATGTTTCAAAATCTCACCTGTAGTACATTTCATGACAGTTCTGTAGAGTGTGCTGCTAGTCCTTGCAGTTTGAGGTTCCTTTTGATCCACACTTTTCTTTTTGATTATAGAATTTATAATTTTATAAATATATAGTATATGGTATACTATATAGTATATAAATACTATATAAAGGACTCTATAGCTTATATTACTACATATTTATGTGACGATGTTTGTATGATAAATTTCTGGAAGGGGAATTGCTGAGCCAAAAAATAAGTGGGTTCATTTTGATTTTGATATATATTGTCCTATCGACATACACAGAGGTACCAATTTATACCCTGCCACAAGCTGGTGTGTGAAGGTATCTGTGAGGCCTGGCATCCTGAAGAGCTACACAATGCCTTGACACCTGTGTTTCGTCTGTTCTACAGGTATGACTTAAGTCTGGATGAGATGAGAGCACTGACAGTTCAGAGGGCGAAGTTTACCATGGGCTTACCTCTGCTAAAACGTGCAATTCAGGATCAGGTAAGCAAGCATCCTTATCTTGGGGTGTGTGTGTGTGTGTGTGTGTGTGTGAGAGAGAGAGAGAGAGAGAGAAATCTTCCATTTGCTGGTTTACTCCTCAAATGCCGACACCACCAGTGCCAGGCCCTGGGGAGCTGCATGTGGGTTCTCATGTGGATGGCAGAGACCCAAGCACTTGAGCTATCATCTGCTGCCTCACAGGATGCGTTAGCAGGAGGCTGGGTGTGGAGTGGAACAGCAGGGGCTTGAACTGGCGCTAAGATATGGAATGTGGGCTAGCGGCTTGGCTCACTGCACCGCCATATTCACCACACCTTTGATGCATTTTAGACTTGTCCAAAGGTTATGAGTCTTGCTTGTCCAAAAATTGCCATTCTGAACTCAGTGACATTATTTTAGTCAACTTGGCGTTGTGAGAAAGAAAGAAATAGCACGTCACTGGCAAGTTCTTTTGTGATTGTGGGGAGCAACTCGGACTAGACTAAGTTACTGGAATTAAGACTTATTCTATGCATCTGCTCTCCCACAATATGGCGCTGGGAGAGGAGTAAACAACTTCTACGCAGCTGCCTCCAGTTCGACCAGTAACCTGCAGGAGCTGATCCTGCTCCTGATTGGAGGAGAGCAGCGTACTCGGCGTGTGGGTAGCAGAGTTGGGATTGGTGGAAGAGGACTATAAAGGAGGAGAGAGACAACATGCACCAGGAACATCTATCTGAAGGAACACCTGAGGAACACCTGTGCAGCCCCCGAGAGAGCCGGCCGGCGTGTGCCACTCCCCCGTGGAAGTGGGGAAAGTGGCAGGGGGCCCGTCCCTCCACGGAGGTGGAGGGACGGAAGCCAACCCGGGAAGAACCAGAAGCAAACCCGGGGAGGGCCGAGCAGACGAAAGAACAGCGCAGGGTCCTGTGTCGTTCCTCCACGAAGAGGGGGAGCGACACTAATTGCCTGCAAAAGCAGTGGAGGATGGCCCAAGTGTTTGGGATGCTGCTACCCAAGTGGGAGACCCAGATGAAATACCTGGCTCTAAGAGCCATTTGGGAAGTGAAACAGCAAAAGGAAGATCTCTCAATCTGTCTCTCCCTCTCTCTTTCAAATAAATAAATCTTTTTTTAAAAAAAGGAAAAATAGCAGAGTAGGCCATTGGCTTGCTGAGTTTGAGAAAAGTAGAAAAGTTTGCAATCACTTGGCTGAAGTAATTGATTGAGAGATGGTCCTTAGTTGCTTACTATAGATCGTATACATTCATAGCTATGCACAATCTTCAGTGAACAGCAATGTCCAGTAAATATTACTGTGTCAACATGTGTCACCTGCACCTCAGCTCCTCAGAATATGACAGCTTATACATTTCAAGCTCAAGATCAAGGGATTGCATGCTTCTGAGTCATCAAATGCTTGGAATATTTGGAAACACATTTAAAAAAAGATTCAGCAATATCATGTCATATCATGCTTGTAGAAAGATGCTGCTGACCCAGAACAATATTTTCTCTCCATGAATAAACATTTTATGTACATGGCAGCTGCTGAGAGTA